TGGCTGAGATGATAACCCCTGGAAATGTATCAAAAACTGAATAACAGCAACTTGTCATTCCAAACCATGAATTTCAAGAGAAAGGAAAATAAGAATCATGAGATATAGGATGGCTGTCACGGGAAAGTTGTTGCAAGGGCTGTACGTACTTTATAAGGTTTTTGGGTTACACTTTATTTTAAGTTGTCTTTGTTACAGTGTCATTATACATTTAAGTATTGAGTAATATTAATTAACTACATGTACTTACTATATGGTTAGGGTTATGATTAGGGTTTGGCTTAAGGGTTACTTGCATAATGTAATTATGCATAATTTATTGTTATTATAATAGTAAGTACATGTAACACGTGTAACAAGGACACCTTAAAGGGGACATATGACGTTGCTAAAAAAGAACATTATTTGGTGTATTTGGTGTAATGAAATGTGTTTATGTGGTTTAAGGTTCAAAAAACACATTATTTTCCACATACTGTACATTATTGTGTCTCCTCTATGCCCCGCCTTTCTGAAACGCGTCGATTTTTACAAAGCTCATCATTCTGAAAACCAAGGTGTAACATTCCAAAGAGAAAGGAAAACTTCAAATCACATCACATGACCCCTTTAAAATAAAGTGTTACCGGTTTTTGCATATAATTGCTTGATTTCTCTGACAGTGGTTTTGTATATATATATAATTTTTTTTTGTTTTCAACACATGAAATGTATGGTTATAAAACACATGGTAACACATGACACTAAAATATTGCAATAAACATTAATTCAACAACATAAGATGTAACAAAACCCTAATGTACATAAGAAAAAGCGAAGAAGAACATTTGTTATTTCAATTAAAAAACATGCATGAAATGACAATTTGTGCATTTTCACTGTAAATTACAAAATCACTTCCAAAAAATTGTCAGGTTACATTAAAGTTTTCACCAAATATAGTAAGGGAACCATGTATATGTCAGCCCTGTGTTCCCGCGTTTGTTGTGTTTTTCTCCTAATGTGCCTAGTTTCCCTTAGATCCCGATTAGTTAATTCTGTTCACCTGTGTTGTTGATCATCTCGTTTGCTCCTTTGTTTCCCTGTCTTTATGAGCCTTCAGTTTCTGTCTGTTCTTTGTCCAGTGTAAACGTCGATTCCGTGTGCTACGTGTGTGTTCCCTGGTATTATTGATGTCATTAAAGTCTATGATTGTTCTGGATTCTCCCACGTCTCCTCGCTCCGACACAGTAGGCACACCGTGACAGAACATTGGACCTAAATAACAGTAAGCGGCGCCCCTTCTCCTCGTTTTTGTTTCCTTTTTTGAAAGTGTTTTGTTTTTTGTCAGAACCTGAAATTTCCCCCAAGGAATTTACATCCAGCCCAGGGAGGGCTCCTGTCCCCGAGTCTAGACCAGAGAGCGCCCCTGTTTCCGAGTCAAGCCCAGGGAGGGCCGCTGTTCCCACAGAACAGGGCCTCAGAACCTGAAATTTCCCCCAAGGAATTTTTTTGGGGGGGGCTATAGGGATCTGGCCGTAGAGGCCAGGCCGAGTGCCAAGGCCAAGGTCACGGAGGCCGCTCCGCCATGGCTCCCCGAGCTGCCTGCTCCACCATGGCTCCCTAGTCTGCCTGCTCCGCCATGGGTCCCTAGTCTGCCTGTTTCGCCATGGCTCCCTGAACTGCCTGATCTGCCATGGGTCCCGGAATGGGTACCGCCCTGGAGGACATCCGTCCTGTGTAAGCATGTCCATAGAAGCCTCCAGAGTACCCACCCCCCCTCCTCGTTGGATGTTATGAGGCGCGTGGATGTGCCTTCTGGGAGGGGGAGGTAATGTCATCCCTGTGTTCCCGTGTTTGTTGTGTTTTTCTCCTAATGTGCTCCGAGGCCTAGTTTCCCTTAGTTCCCCTGATTAGTTCATTCTGTTCACCTGTGTTGTTGATAATCTCGTTTGCTCCTTTGTTTCCCTGTCTTTATAAGTCTTCAGTTTCTGTGTGTTCTTCGTCCAGTGTAAACGTCGATTCCGTGTGCTATGTGTGTGTTATTGATGTCATTAAAGTCTATGACTGTTCTGGATTCTCCCACGTCTCCTCGCTCCGACACAGTAGGCACACCGTGACAGAACATTGGACCTAAATAACAGTAAGCGGCGCCCCTTCTCCTCGTTTTTGTTTCCTTTTTTGAAAGTGTTTTGTTTTTTGTCAGAACCTGAAATTTCCCCCAAGGAATTTTTTTGGGGGGGCGCTATAGGGATCTGGCCGTAGAGGCCAGGCCGAGTGCCAAGGCCAAGGTCACGGAGGCCGCTCCGCCATGGCTCCCCGAGCTGCCTGCTCCACCATGGCTCCCTAGTCTGCCTGCTCCGCCATGGGTCCCTAGTCTGCCTGTTTCGCCATGGCTCCCTGAACTGCCTGATCTGCCATGGGTCCCGGAATGGGTACCGCCCTGGAGGACATCCGTCCTGTGTAAGCATGTCCATAGAAGCCTCCAGAGTACCCACCCCCCCTCCTCGTTGGATGTTATGAGGCGCGTGGATGTGCCTTCTGGGAGGGGGAGGTAATGTCATCCCTGTGTTCCCGTGTTTGTTGTGTTTTTCTCCTAATGTGCTCCGAGGCCTAGTTTCCCTTAGTTCCCCTGATTAGTTCATTCTGTTCACCTGTGTTGTTGATAATCTCGTTTGCTCCTTTGTTTCCCTGTCTTTATAAGTCTTCAGTTTCTGTGTGTTCTTCGTCCAGTGTAAACGTCGATTCCGTGTGCTATGTGTGTGTTATTGATGTCATTAAAGTCTATGACTGTTCTGGATTCTCCCACGTCTCCTCGCTCCGACACAGTAGGCACACCGTGACAGTATAGTTCTCCTTTTACATTTGTACTATTTGTACTGCAGTTTAATGACAGGTTCTATTGTGAGAACTTGCCCCATGATCTGTACCTTTTCCTGGTTACTCGTTGCACAATAACTTCAAATAGACTTAATAATATAAAAAGTGTAACAATCTGCCAACTTTCAAAACCCACAACATGCTATTATATACAATCACATTTGACATTTATTATGCTTCTAACTGCATACATCTTACACTTACATTTTCTCTGTCTTTTACAGAAGTTCTGAGAAAAGAACCAGGATGAAAGTAAAGAGGATGTGCTGTAGAGTCATCACCTGTCAGCACTGCACAAAAGGACTTTCTCTTATGTCTCTGTCTCGCTCTCTCTCAACAGATGGGCTGTTAGTATGCCCTGTTCACAGTTTTCCAGCATGTGAGAGAGGATGCAGTGCCAAACCCCTGCTGGCAAACATTTTACTGGCCAAACTCTTTCTCTCTCAATCTCTCTAGCAATCTATCGTTCTCACTTTTTCTCACTTGTTCACTCTCCCTGTCAGTCAAAATACCTGCTACCTATTATGTCATAAAGTATTACATCCACACTTCAAAGGTGCCACAGCACTGAGAACAAAAGTGATGAAGAAGAAACATACAGTGAGATCGAACACAGCTCAAGCAATCACACACACATTTTCAACCTTTGCCAAACCTAATGGAAATGTCACTCATTTCTTATTTACACTGAGGCTGAGAGCTCTGCTTCCCAGCTTGAATGAATATTTCTCTCTGTTTAAATTGTTGCAGTGGCATGGGACACAAACTAAATAAATAAATATTCACTGATTCTTGGAAAAAAGTCTACACGTTGAAAAAAATGTACAGTGGTGTGAAAAAGTGTTGGCCCCCTTCCTGATTTCTTATTTCAAGGAATTATTTTGGATTAATCTCTACAACATGTTTAGAGGTTTTCACCTATATTTGAGTGCATCTTCTTCTATTGTTGCTGACAAACTAACTACACATTTCACTACTAACATGACCAATTTAAAATGAGACTTAAACAAATCTGAAAATAATGATAATTTATCCTTGTGTGCATTTGTCCCTAAACTGTTCTATTTTATTTTATTTTATTAAATTTTTATCACAGTAGGTTTTTTTATGTTTGTTCTGTGAGAAAGCAAAATAACCAAAATAAATGTAGGAAAAAAAAACAAAAAACAGTTTCTATATTATGTGAGAGAGTTGACTTAATAGTTGTGACCAGGGGCGTAGCCATCATTTCAGAAGTGAGGGGGACAGAAATGTTATATATATATATATATATATATATATTTCTGTTTTTCTGTGAAAACAACTGTTTTCATACAGCGATAGCTGGACGCTTTTGTCCATTTCCTCGTACGACTTTCTGCGCGAGAGCGCCCTCCGGCTTCGAGTATGAATGAAACATACACTGCATGAGTGTTTAGCGCTCCGCGATGTTCATCTCGCCTTAATCTGGGTAAGAATAAAACATCAGATCATGCACAGACTATACTGTCTCGTTGAATTTAAATCTATATTTATTCACACCGGCTCTTGAAAACCTCTATGCGAACACACTTGCCCGAAAAAGTGCCCGCGTCCCCCGCGTAATCTACGCCCCTGGTTGTGACAATAATATACACACAAGTACATGTGGTTTTGTGGTACTGAGTGATAATGTATTTTTTTTATTATTATTAAAAAAAAGAAATTATATGGTTTATTTGTTTAAGTCATTATATGTGATTCATTTCAGTGCAACTGTTGCTATTTTAAGTGATACATGTTTTGTCCCACGTCTCAAGAACCATTGTAGCATTCAAATGATGAACAGAACTGGTTTTATTTTTGAAAGCTTTACAAATAAAATTATATTTTCTCTCCCCATGGATGTGGGTGACCTTCTAGCATACCACAGAATACACTAATCTAGGAAATGTACGTTTCTGTTTTTGAAACATTTTATCTCGTAACAAAAGTCGAGATTAAATTCTAAATTTGGAAACAAAATCAATTTTTTTTTAAACTTTTTTTAGGGATCCCATGTTCCATAGAGTATGACATTTAATTGCATTCGCTTTCCTCACATTTGCACCTCTCTACTGTAAGTAGAGTTGGAGGGCAGAGCGCAGTGCTCTTACGCGTCCAGTGATTTGGTGTCAGTGCAGTTCTCATGCGCTCTGGAGTTAGACAGAGACGCAGCACCAGACGAAAACAGCCGAATTTACTCCCGAAGACCAGCACCACTCTTCAATTAGTGTCTTGAGTGCTAATGAGGTTTTTAACGCAGCATCCAAACTTGGTAATGAAATAGTGCCGTTTCGTGACACTGATTTTGCGCAACGGTTTCCCTCGATCTGGCGCCAGATTTGCTGGGGAATAAAAGATGATTCTCCACGTGCCCTGTTCCTATGAAATTATTTGGATTCCGTCTCGCATTTTTGGAGGAAATCAGCACTGAACGCAGTACAACGTTTTCTGGACAACTTTGGTGCCAGTGGACACGGGCAGTCGCGAAAGTCTTTTACTGCCCCGAGATTGTTGGCTCTAAGCAGGATGGACCTCATCGGGCTCTACTTGTTCCAGCTGGCAATTTTTGGTGAGTTTTCCTCCGATTAATTCTGCTGATTTGAGGGGAACGGAGGATGAGCTCAGTTGCAGCTGTTGCGGATGTGAAGGGAATGATGAATCCCATCTTTGCCTGCAGACGCACGAATCATCTCGTGTCGCTGCGTTTTTAACTTCAACTTGTTTATTTTGCGATTGCAATGTTGTTTTAAGTTATTCTAGCCCTAAGATGCAATGTTTCGGCTTTTGGGACATTAATATTCTCTCTGGTTCTATTGTCAGTACGCTAGATTTTCAGCGCGCACTTAAGTGTCATTTTCATGTTTGGCACACCAAATGAGACGCATCGGACGACCCGCTAATGCGATTACGTTTGTGTGTCAAAATTACCTGTCGCTTGTGTTTAATGCGGTAGTTCACGGCACATTACCTCCATCATTAAAGCAGCAGCCTGACACCCTGTCCGTCAAGCTGTTCGCGTCATCATGGATCTCGCGCGGTCCGCAGGTAGAGCGCAGGACGCATCCTACTGCAGCTATGCAAATCCCTTTAAAGAATTATGAAGAGCCAGCAGCCTGAGACTGTGGAGTCATGAGCTCTTGTCAAAAGCGTTTGCCACAGATAACTCCTACCTAGACCCCATGCCGCTGGCTCCTGTCGTCCTGTCGTTCCATTTGTGTATTCCACTGAGACTTAGTTTTGTCAAACAGTCTCAAGAGAAGCGCTTGTGCATTGGGCAACAGGTTGAAAGCAGACGTTTTGAGGCAAGCTTTCTTGGCATGCCATGGTGGAGAAAAAACAGTTCAGATTGATGATGACAGTCCTGTTTTCCCCTCTTAGATTGCATGATGTTTAATAGCCTTGCTGAAGCATAACTGCTAGTCGTGCTTCATTTAGTGCTTTTAGATTTAAATTTCCACATTGAATATGGAACAGAAATGGGTTACATTTATGAGATAAATGTTAATGTCACAATGTTTTTAAGTATATACTCACACAAACTTAAAAATGAACAAAGAGAAAGTGGGAGGTGTGGGGGACGTTATGGTCATTAGAATCATCTTGTCATTGAGCGCCCTTATATTTTCAAGTGGATTTTGACTAACTTCCCCCAAAAAGGTAGCTATCTTTGATAATTATCAGAAGTAATGCAGATCATTTACTTTGAACAGAAAACTGTCATCAGCAACCCAGTTTGCAACAGCGTGCATATGCCACTTTTCTGTGGAACACATAAATAGTTATTATCAAAATGTCAAAGCTTTCTTTTACATACAACAAAGACGCATTGTCTGTAAAGTTCAGTTGCAATTTTGCTTGATTTACTAAAAAAAGATTCAATATTTAGTTGGTATGTTGAACTGGGCTTTTCCTTGCACAGTATCTGAAAATTGTATCACTAGCCAAAACATGTGTTACCCCTACATAATGAAGAGCTAAGCTGATTTAAGGTGTTATCTAGCCTAGGGCAACAAATGAAACCAAGACTGCCACTGTTGCAACATTAAATATAAAAAAAGGTGCAACCCCTTTAATACCCCTTGTTTTCAAGAAATCAATAGGCCACAACAAGTTCATAATAGGATTGTGAGCAAAAACCAAAAGCCACAAGTGGGACATGATTAAAAACAGGAGTAAAACCAGAACAGACATTCAGTCACGGGCTAGTCTTGAAAATAAGAGCATACTGTCAGTGTAACGTATATACTCTCTCTCTTTCTGACACACACTGGTTTTCCACTGAGGTTCACAAGCAGAGGACAAAAGACATATAGCCACCAGCTAGACAGCCAGAGGCACATGTTATACAGTCATTGATGGAGAGTGACACTTTTGCACTGATTTTCACACGTTTGTTTTGGTGGTGGTTGAGAATTTCCATTGACTTTGGTCTAATGATATTTTCTGTCTCCTAACCCAAAACTAACCTTCATACAAACCTTTCTTCATTTTCATTAAGACACATTCAGTATGTTTATTAAGCTGTTTAGGCGATTTCAGGTTTTACTTTCCTTGTGGGGACATTTTATTCTTAGCACCTTGAAGTCAGCATGTGTTCATTTTGCCTCTTTTAGAAACGCAATACACTGCTAACAGCAAATATTTTGGGTCAATCTATGAAGCGTCCTCTCCTGCAGGGGAGATACAAGCAATGTGAGCGATGATTGGTTTGTGTCCTTCTGTGTCACACTTCACTTTGACAGCCATCACGGTTCCAGTCCAAGGAGAAACGTTAATGGGCTTTGTCAACTGTTTTGTTGCAGTGTAATCATTTAGAGAAACTTTGCTACCAAGTCTACAACATAATCATGTCAAATGTGGGAATAAAATATGATTAAGTTATGAATGAATAAAGATGAGAAGAATGATTAGCATATAATTCCGTTACATTACTTCATACTTTTTGAAGTGTTCATTCTATCACTTTAGTGTAGTTATGAGTCTTTGAGCAAATCTGAATTACCCTTTCTCAAGGTGTTAATACAAGTGATCATTACGTAATTTCCAACAGTTAACAATAGTGTGAGATTCATGCATGCGAGGCAAATTAATTCCACCTTTCCTAGACTAATGCTCATTTAGCCCTTTAAGCTCTTAGGGGATTGAATAAATTTGTTAGCCGCACATTTAGTAACCTTGAATAGTGGCAGATTACATTATGCGGTGCTGTTCATTGCACCAAGCTGGGATATGAATTCATTCTGGCAAGGCTGCGGTTTCTCACCAGCATTAATGTGAATGGCCCCTACCCTCCCCTACTGGCCTGTCCAGGTTCTCTGTCTTCACCCTGCTATTTATCCTCTGCATACATCTCTTAGTCTATTCATTCGGCATGATTTTTGGGGTGACTTTTTAATTAGCTGTCCCTGTGAGTGACTATTGACTGGGATTGACTTGATTCAGCCGGGGATAAGTAGGCGGGATAGATGAGTATTAATGTGCGGTGAGCAGACAGGGCTGTTATGTGTCTCAATAAAGGACTCATTGCACAGAATTTGGTCTAAAGGTGGAATCTTTGACCAAAATCTTATATAATATAGCATGAGTAATCATGAAAAATGTAAATTTTGTCATCATTTACTCACCCTTATTTCATTCCACATTCATAAGACTTTCGTTCATCACAAAGGAAGATATTTTTACTGAAACCTGAGAGATTTCCATCTCTCCTTTAAATTTTTATTCGCCCTGAACTTTAACGCTTTCAAAAGTTCAAAAGAAAATTGAGCTGTCATCTTCGATCACTTTATATGATGAGCAGATTTAATTTGGCAACACAGATTTGTTTTTTATTCATACATAAACAATTGATAAATGCACACATATACTGTAGAGCACATCAAATATGACTTGCAAAAACAAATAACAAACATTTGAGCTTCGATAAGCTCTATGTGAGTTGATCAATGTTTATATGTGAACAAAAGCCTAAATTAAATTTGTTCATTGTTTAAAGTCATGTCTCTTCAGAGTGATTTGATTCATATGGATTACTTTTATAATATTTTTATGAACTTTTTGAATTGTCAAAGTTTCATTGTATTGGACTTTCAATGGAGGGACAAAAATCTCTCAGGTTTCATAAAAATATATATCTTTAACTGTATTTCCAAGATGAATAAAAGTTTTATGGGTTTGAAATGACTTGAGGGTGAGATGAAAAATGATAAATGACAGAAAACGAATTTTTGGTTAACTATATTTTTAATTAACATTTTGTAACCTCATCCTTGTTATGACTTTGGGACAGCTTTAAACTTGAGTGTGTCTTTGTATCGTTTGGTGATTAACAAGCCAGCTACCCTGACTTATTAATGTTTAATAAACCCAATCTCATAAAAAAAAAAAAAAGTTGGTGATTTCATATGAATTCATACATTTTAGTTAGTACGAAAAGTTATGATTTTTGAAAAAAAAAGGAGGTCAGTCCCTAAATCTTACCCTCAGTAGAGCATAAGCAGATCATACGAAAATGTATGAATGAGAAAGAGAATGCAAAAACACGCCAATTCGCCAAAACATAAAATAGTGCGAATTGCAATGAGAGTGTGTTGGTAGAATTATTAGCTTGAGCAGTAAGCTCTCACCTCTTAGGAGGAGCTACTAAATATTACATTCACTGACATTTAAGTTATTCTTAGATCCGTGTATGAGATCTGAGGATATTGCATTACAATTTTTCATTATAACTATTTAATTATAGCTTTTCAGTTCTGCCATTTATTGGCAGTAGTGTTGTTCCGGTTGTTCATTTATTTATTTTTCAAATGAAAACATAAACACAGGGTTTCTGCAGGTTTGATGAAGGTAAATTTAAAACCTTTTTAAGAGAAAATAAAGACAAGTTAAGGAACACAGTTAAAGGAACCCAATACATCAATATGTTCTCTTAATGTAAATGTCTAGGGAACACAATGAGTTGTATTAGCAACACTTAAAAGTTTGAAAATACAACTTCCAAAAACTTTCCATTACAATATGGAAATAACTTTTACTGTACCTTCACATCGCACTGCAAAAAGTTCTTTATCTGTATTTTTGTTTTTGTCTTGTTTTCCAGTGAAGCAAAATGGCATAAGATACAGTATGTCTTGTTAATGGTCAAAATTTATCAAAATGTAGTGAGTTTTTGATAGAAACAAGAACAAATAGCTGACATTTTCCATGTGCATCTCCAGAAAATGCATCTTGTTTTAAGGATGTTTAGATATTTGTGTTGGAAAACAAGACAAAAATACAAGATGCACCTTTTTGCAATGCATACAACGTTTATTGACTTTATTGATTTAAGAATTCCTGTTATGAGTTTAAGACCTTTTAAGGCCTTAAATTGTGGATGGTGATGAATTAAGACGTTTTAAGACCCCCAGAAACCCTGTAAGCAGCATAAAACAATGCAAGTATGCTACAGATTCAAATAAGACAAAGAACCGACATACTGTAAGAGAAAATGAACATGTTGTCCCTCCTCATACCCCTGTGCATGGATATGTACTGCGGTATATACCAGATCTCTACTCAGGATGATAC